CCATTTACCAGTTTCCCTGCTTCAAGCATTTTCATGCCAATTTTGTCTTTTCAATGCACCACGTCAATCGTCATCTTGGTTGACCATAATTCGTCTCCCAGATATCCTTTATTCCATTACTATTATATTACCCAATTAGTCTCATATTTGATGTGTCTAAAATATTTTAGTTTCTGAGACATGATGCTCCAACTGTCTTTGATGTCAAGATCTTGTGAAAGTTACTCATATGTTCAAAAATATATATCTGCTGTTTGTATGTGTTGTTGAGAAACTGATGGTTATCATCATTTCTTACATAATTTCACACAGACTCTAATAGCAAACCCACAGCCTTTTTTCAAGCATGTCCACTCAGACAGTTCTGTCTTGTGCAACGATGATAAGACAAAGTGCAGGAAGCAAAATATTGTTTATCATTGCTCAGTTCAATTATAACATTCAGAGCTTTGAGCAAATGTGACAGCTTTCAGTTAAAGAAAACAAACTCACAGAGTTTATATTAGCTCCAATAGTGTTAGTTTAAATGAAGACACTGCACAAAATATTCAAGAAAAGAATATGAACACCCAGGGTTTTTCTTGTAGAAAAAAATGGTTCCATTACTAACCAAAAAGTGTTTTGAAAAGGCGCCAATACTCAACATAAAGTATTTATTACAGTGGCGCTGGGAAAAAAATATGATGAATAATAAATGGTGTTGGTACTGCGTAAGAGGGAACTAACGGCAAGGTTGGCTAATACATTCTGTAAAATTTGATTCTGCCGCTAAATCCAGTGATCCGTGAAAAATTCAAGGATGGCTTGGTGTCAACTGGTTAATGATCTACGCTTCAATGAAAGATACAGGACAGAAGAAGAACAGTGGGAACAAGCTGCTGTAACATAATGGTTAATGTGTTTCTGGACAAAGACAGTGGTATAGTTCAAATCCAAGCAACTGCACAACTGTCGTCCTTACACCCCCCCCCCCCCCCTTCCTTTTTCCAACTAGTATGTCACTGACCCAGCCTGGTTAAAAAAAGCAAATAAACGTATCCTTTTAACTGAAACACAAAATCAACTACACTCAAACGTAACAGCTGTTTTACTGCATAATCTGGATGGAACCAGTATACTGTTGTGGCCTCCACATAGTGAAAATCTATCAGGTATGGGGAAATTGACAAGGCCAATATGGGATTCAGAGAAAATTATCAGTTTAGTAAATGCAACATATAAAGTCAAGAAATGTCATGTTTTTCATGAGAGAAGTTTAACGGACACATTTGAATAATAACATGTGTACAACAGGGATGTCTTTTGTTACGTCTCCTATTTTTACTAGCAATAGATTGGATAAGGAAGACATCAACAGCTACTACCAGGGATGGAATTCTGTGGACTCTACAAAACAGCCTGCTGATCTGGACTTCACTGATGAAATTTTTCTTCTGTCCCACACACGGAATAAGACGCAAGATAAATTAAATATGCTTTACGCGAGATCACAAAAACTAGGCCTAAAAATCCATAAGGAAAAACCAAGATAACGAGAATAAAATCAGGCAAACAGTAATCTGGTTTCTCTGAAATCGTTCAGGTGTGAGCAATGCTGCGTGTGTAGACTGAGAAGTTCCGATCTGACTAAACCATACATTCTGCGTCGATTGTGTGTTCAGTATATAAAGATTCAAATACTGCTCCGTCTTCCCTTTTAATGTTTGGAGTTACCATTAAAATATTCAGGGAAAGTTATTCTAACCCTTCTGCAAGTTTACAATTCTTTGTGTATTCATTTAGGTGCAAAGTTGTCGAATTTATTGGTAAGTGAAGAATGTTTTTGCGTACAATTTTGTGTGTGTGTGTGTGTAGTAAACATAACACCTGCTGAATGCTTGCAAAATAATTCCCATATTCATTTTTAAAGTTTAACACAACATTTTCATCTAAATTGTTTCCTTTTCCATACATCTTTTGAAAACAGCAATGAAAATGGTCCAGTCTGTGAACATATAGCATCATATTTTCTATAGAATTGTTGCTATAAGTAAAATGATGGATACAAACTTCCAATCTATCTGTTAATTTCCATTAAAATATCTCCTCCTCATATTAGGATGGAGTCTACAATGTTAGCTTCACATCCACATAATTTTAAAACATCTGGTATTACATTTATCAGGTATTAGACTGATTCTTTATGACATTAAGTGATTGTGTTTTGTAGATAGTGAATAAAAGAAGGTTAGAATCTATCTATATGTATGTATGTATATGTATGTATGTATATATATATATATATGTATATATTCATATATATATGAAAAGTAAAATCACATAAAATATGTTTAATTCTAATAAACATTTGTCTCTGTCTATAAATGTACAGTCAACAGCATATGCTTGTATTTTTGAACGACCAGCATTCAATATTTCCAGCAACCACTAATATTATTTTTAATGTGGTTTGACATGCTTACAAAAACACTGAGATCATTCATTTGGAAATTAAACTACTGTTAATCTGAGCCAGTAATGGGATCTACTGTGTATCCCTGCCAGTTAAGTGAAAATGTCAAAATACATTGTAGGTATAAAACAACAAATAATGAAACATCAACAAGGAGCCTTCATTTGCCATTACAGCTGGAAAAATATGTTAAATCAAGGGCAGAGCAAACATGTAAAGGTTTTGAGCATAATTAACCTATAGGGACATGTTGGGGACAACTAAACATGACATAGAATGAATTAAAGTATGAAAGAACGAATAAATGTATGAAAGAATGAATTCATGTATGAAAGAATGAATAAATGTATGAAAGAATGAATTAAAGTATGAAAGAATGAATAAATGTATGAAAGAATGAATTAAAGTATGAAAGAATGAATAAATGTATGAAAGAATGAATTAATGTATGAAAGAATGAATAAATGTATGAAAGAATGAATAAATGTATGAAAGAATAAATTATTGTATGAAAGAATGAATAAATGTATGAAAGAATTGTTATCACTGCACATGTACTTCTGTCTCCTGCCTCTGTAGCCAACAGAGTCACTATGCTAATAGTGCCTGTTACAATCTGATTAAACGCCTGCGTGTGTTTCTCCCTCTGCATTGAATATCCTCCAGAACACCTGCTTACCACTGCTGAATTAGTCTCTTAAGGTATGGATACTCTGTTCTGTTGCATTGTCCACTTCATTTCAAAAAGCTGTCATCATGTCTGCTTTATCATGAAGTCATTAACCACCCAAAAGAGCGGCAACAGCCAATGTATCAGCCTATTGAATACCCAGCACACCAGAATGTCTGAGACACAAAATCTGCAATATGCTCCGAATCTGAGTCTTATCAGGGGATGCAAGCTACTCTATGGATGCCAGTTTCTATTTCTGAAGCATGCTCTGTGAATCTGTTACAATTACAACATGCCAGGTTGTACTGCTCTCAAGTCACCGTCAAGTTGCCATTACCGCCTCCACCTTGATTCTCATACTGGGTGTTGTGATGCTAAATGCAATACCCATAAAGTAAAGATGTAAACTGATTCAACAAATGAAAGTCTATACTGCATTTAAATAGCATCTGGTAAATATTTATGAAAAACTAATTGAACAAATAATGAACACTGGATAAAGCTTAGCTGTCAAAAAGCTATATTTGCAGATTTGTATATTGTTTAAATACTGTTAACAGAATGTTCAATATATGAAAAGTAACTCTCACACATCGAAAGAAAATTCTTGTTGTGCCCTTGTCCATTTTACTGCTTTCTATTTGCAGGATGGGAAGTTAGAAGGTGCTTGCGTTCATACTAATGGTGTGCCAGAAATATATATTTTTTTATCTTGGTAATATTGCATTTTATTTTAACTGATTTGCACATTTTATTATCAATATAGCTAAACTAAAAAAAAAAAATAATAATAATAAAATGAAGTGAGAACATAATCAATTAAGCAAATTATAAAATGATTTTTTATTAATATATTATGTATGAATATAAAGCTTAACCTTATCTAAACAGCAATCAATGTCATTATGTAAATTTATATGTACAAACATTAAATTATGCCTGAAGTCGGTACTAATGACAAAAATAATTCTCCATATGAACATACACCATAATGCTTGTATATGAGGTTATTTACATTATGTAGATAATTGTTTAAGATTGCACAAGTTAAACACATATCACATTTTAAATGTTGTTAGTAAGTGTATCTTGGGGCAGACAAGTGTTACGTAGAAGCAAGACCAGGCACGTAGTCTATAGTTCAACATTTTCACATCACAGAATCACAAAATATGTTGGTGTTCATCATAGGTACAACCAGAAACAACAGAACATGTCCAACTATTTTACCCAACTTTAATTACATTTTATTGAATGCTTGAGCCAAACTGAGTTTGATTATCTAGTTATTTCATAACTGCAGCAGGTATACACAGCATAAATGACTGTATAAAACCCACCATGCCTAAAAACTGCTGTTATTAATCCACTTAATAAACCATGCGAATGGAATCCACACTTTATAAAGAAAAGATTATCCCATTCCAAACCAGGCAATGAACAGAAGAAAAAAAATCACAAACTCCTGCTTACATAATTTGCACACAATGCTTCCATGGAGTAAACTTATTTCTGTTTTTTTTTTGCCTGTCAAAATTCTCATGCAGTTAGAAAATTCCCAAACCTCACTTACAGAACTATTGCACAATTCCAATGCTGTTAGGAAACATCCTGAACTACAGTTAAAGACCTCATGCTCAAATCTCAGTCTGTTGAACACAAAAATTGATCAAACTGCAGTCTGTTTGAAATCTGCCTAAACCACAATCTGCTAGAGAACTATTGCCCAGTTCTCAAGCTGTTAGGAAATTGCACAAGTCTACAATACAGTAAAGAGTGAATGCCCAATTTCCATGCTGTTAGGAAACTGCCGAACCACAATCTGTTAGAAAAACTACTGTAAAACAAACCACATGCCTAGTCTGCAAGCCAATGCTATAAAGTTGTCACATTTACCACTGCCTGTTTGTCTATGGAGTCTGAGGGGAAATAGTGTGTCCGATCCTGCATTTCATGCTGCTGATAGCCAGCGGGAGATTGTCTGTGCCGAGCTGAGACGTCTGTAAGTGACGCTGCTGATAGATTATCGTTGTCATGGTAACTAGAGTCCATGTGCCTGGAACGTCTGATGATTTCTCTGGCGGCCACATTCATTTCCTCATGTGTCATGTTTGTCGCTTCAGCGATTTCTCTTTGTAAACACTGAGGATCTACCCATCGGTTCAAGCCTTCATCTTGGAGAACCTGCAAAAACAACACATAAAGTCATTTCAACTGTTTGTGCACTCTTACAAATATTATTACTTCAAAATGTGACAGTTACAAAGTCGATGTATTTAAGAGCTCCACTCCAATGATCAATGAATGCGACAGAATCTTGATGAACTGAAATGATCCATTAATGGGACAGAATCTTGATGAACTGAAATGATCCAATAATGCGACAGAATCTTGATGAACTGAAATGATCCATTAATCGGACAGAAATTTGATGAACTGAAATGATCCATTAATCGGACAGAAATTTGATGAACTGAAATGATCCATTAATCGGACAGAAATTTGATGAACTGAAATGATCCATTAATAGGACAGAATCTTGATGAACTGAAATGATCCATGAATGCGACAGAATCTTCATGAACTGAAATAATCCATAAATGAAAAGAATCTTGATGAACTGAAATTATCCATTAATGGGACAGAATCTTGATGAACAGAAATGATCAATAAATGTGACAGAATCTTGATGAACTGAAAGGATCCATGAATGCAACAGAATCTTGATGAACTAAAATGATCCATTAATGGGACAGAATCTTGATGAACTGAAATGATCCATTAATGCAGAATCTTGATGAACTGAAATGATCCATGAATGCGACAGAATCTTCATGAACTGAAATGATCCATGAATGGGACAGAATCTTGATGAACTGAAATTATCCATTAATGGGACAGAATCTTGATGAACAGAAAATGATCCATGAATGGGTCAGAATCTTGATGAACTGAGACAATCCAATTATAGGATCCAGATAAACTGAAATGAATAATGGGACAGAATCTTGATGAACTCAGATGACCCATTAATGGGACAGAATCTTGATGAACTGAAATGATCCATTAATGGGACAGAATCTTGATGAACTGAAATGATCCATTAATGGGACAGAATCTTGATGAACTGAAATGATCCATTAATGGGACAGAATCTTGATGAACTGAGACAATCCATTAATAGGACAGAATCTAGATGAACTGAAATTATCCAATAATGGGACAGAACATTGATGAACTGAAATGATCCATTAATGGGACAGAATCTTGATGAACTGAAATGATCCATTAATGGGACAGAATCTTGATGAACTGAGACAATCCATTAATAGGACTAGATGAACTGAAATTATCCAATAATGGGACAGAACATTGATGAACTGAAATGATCCATTAATGGGACAGAATCTTGATGAACTGAAATGATCCATTAATGGGACAGAATTTTGATGAACTGAAATGATCCATGAATGCGACAGAATCTTCCTGAACTGAAATAATCCATTAATGAAAAGAATCTTGATGAACTGAAATTATCCATTAATGAAAAGAATCTTGATGAACAGAAATGATCCATAAATGTGACAGAATCTTGATGAACTGAAAGGATCCATGAATGCAACAGAATCTTGATGAACTGTAATGATCCATTAATGGGACAGAATCTTGATGAACTGAAATGATCCATTAATGCAGAATCTTGATGAACTGAAATGATCCATGAATGCGACAGAATCTTCATGAACTGAAATGATCCATGAATGGGACAGAATCTTGATGAACTGAAATTATCCATTAATGGGACAGAATCTTGATGAACAGAAATGATCCATGAATGGGTCAGAATCTTGATGAACTGAGACAATCCATTAATAGGACAGAATCTAGATAAACTGAAATGATCCAATAATGGGACAGAATCTTGATGAACTCAGATGACCCATTAATGGGACAGAATCTTGATGAACTGAGACAATCCATTAATAGGACAGAATCTAGATGAACTGAAATGATCCATTAATGGGACAGAATCTTGATGAACTGAAATGATCCATTAATGGGACAGAATCTTGATGAACTGAGACAATCCATTAATAGGACAGAATCTAGATGAACTGGGATAATGGGACAGAACATTGATGAACTGAAATGATCCATTAATGGGACAGAATCTTGATGAACTGAAATGATCCATTAATGGGACAGAATCTTGATGAACTGAGACAATCCATTAATAGGACAGAATCTAGATGAACTGAAATTATCCAATAATGGGACAGAACATTGATGAACTGAAATGATCCATTAATGGGACAGAATCTTGATGAACTGAAATGATCCATTAATGGGACAGAACATTCACACTACAAATCCCCTTTGTGAGTTTCATGACTTCATTTGAAAGGGAAAAGGAATAAATTGGCTGCCTCCCTAACAAGCATGTCATAAAAGGCGACCAACTGGGAGTTTTCCTTTAAAGTCAGAATGCCTTTGCCTGAGAGACAAGTAACCAGTAGTCTGCATACCAGTAAGCCAAATCTGTGAAATGGAACCCAAATTCTGGAACAAGACTGAAGTCCAAAATAGGACAAACAACCAGAACTTTTGGAGTTCTCAACAGGTGAATGTGAAGAAGCAGAAGAAGAAAATTACAGCTGGGACAATATAGGCTTATATATGAGTCAAGTAGATTAGAAATGCATGCTATGTATAAAATAACCAATTAACTCATGGTGAGTTTCCTGGTATTGAAAGAGTTCATAAAGGTCTAAAATAAGTAGACTGAATGGTCTTCATAAAAGCCACTGACTAGACTGGATCAGTTCTCAAGTACTTGGCTGACAAATCTTCACGAGTCAGTGAATAACAAATTAAAGATGGAATTTGTGTGGGTCTGCAGAATCATGAGCTTTCCAGAGACTAGATGTTTTACAATTAATTAAAAGAAACATGAGAAAACAAGTTTGGAATGCATTTTGTCTGGTGGCAGCTAAATTTCCTGGCAATGTGTGAATGTTGAATTAGGAATCAACATCACAACACTCTAGACACCCCCATAAGTGCTCAGTCCCCATCTTCAACAGCAAGAAAAGAGTTAAAATTCTGATAGTACCAGTAACTGTCTGATTGTATTTCCGTTCGCCTCTCCCCTGAGTTTTGAGCATCGGCCAGATCCTCTTGTAACTCCTCGCAGTGCCATTCTCCTCAGACCATAATGATCTGTCTGTTCCTTGGCACTGTTCACTCACTCCCAAAGGGCCCTCACAATATCCAGCTTGGCATACATCAGTTTACCACCAAGTGGTGCAGAACCGGCCAGTCTATCTGCCTGCTCATTTCCCAACATACCGGCATAACCAAGAGAAAATATCCAAAGGACGCTAACCACCCGAGACCTCTGAAGTGATGCTAGCCACACTGCACGGAGCATGCCTGTCTCCACTTTTCTCAACATGCTCTGTAAGTCAGTTACAACGAGGACATGTGTGTACAGCTGATTCTCAAGCCAGCAGAAGCAGCAGTGACTGCCTCCACCTCCATTCTCAAACTAGACATTATGATATCATATGCACGGCTTTGTTGCACCAAGCGATGTCCATTCGCCTTCGCTATGAACCCCCATGCACTTCATCTGCCAATGTCTAAGTTTAAAAACTACAAAGAATTGGTTAAGAAAATGTTGTCTCAATTACACATTCTTGGCCGCAATATGTCTTTAAAAATCCACTTTCTCTATTATTGACACTTGGATTTCTTCCACAGTAACAATGATATGGTTGGTGACGTGCAGGTGAGCATTTTTACTAGGATATTGTTGCAATGGAGAAATAATACTAAGGAAACTGGACCACTTCCATGCTGGCTGACTATTGTTGGACACTTGCCAGTGGTGATCTTCAGCTGCTATATTGTCAGAAGTAGAAGCGGTCTTGTACTGGTATGTCCAGTGTGTTTACCATAGTGCTCCATTCTTCTTATTTGTTATTTGCTTAGTGATGTCAAAGCAATTAGTGATGAATACAACATATGTAATCATTTGTGTGTGTGTGAAGAATTAAATAACTCATCTGTTGCTGTTTTGTGACATTTTTGGCAGGGAAAAGATAAGACTGTATGAATAATACAAACTACAATACTCTATTATATATAAAAGATTTTGTTCTTCAGATTTCCCAGAAACTGTAGGAAATTTCTCTATTTCATTGTCATATTTGTGCTCAGCACCTTTAAATCTCTAGGAATGAATGAATGAATCAATCAATCAATCAAAAAGTGACATCACTACACTCAGGACATTCACACACATGGTCCGCCCTTTTCTTCAGCAGCTAATGAAGAGATGACATGCCAAAAGGACCGGCTGCACCCTGATTAAAAGTCCACCTCTCGTTTCCCTTTCAATGTTGAATATCTTCCAGATCCTCTACTCTCCACCCTCGCATTTTGCTGCTCCCAAAATTTTGCCACCCTGTGCATTTGCACATGATGCTGGATGCATAAATACGGCTCTGCTCCTACTGTTTATTTAGCTGAAAGCAATGCATCCATAACTTCATAGTGGTTTACTTTCATTTTTGCATGCTGCAAAAAACCTGGCACAAAAGTAGTCAAAACATAAATTGTACTAACTTTTGCCACCAGTGTTTCTGCACTACTTCTTCTGTGATGTAGTTGCCGTGGAGCTAGTTGCTGCTGCTGTTGTAGGGCACTGGGGATGAGGAGTGGGCCACGATCTAAGGCTCGATGGAGATGAGCAGATAATTCTGGGATAGCCGATGAATCACTGTGCCGCTGCATCCTGCGTGGATCATCTGAACCTGTAATGTTAGGACAGAGAAATATCAACTGAATGTTTTAATTTTTCAGATGTCACTTTTCCATGAGATTATATTTTTCAGTAGTTTACTTGTCTGATGGGTTGGTCACAGTTTAGAACTCCATCAAGATGCATTGTGAAATCAGAGCTCTACGTCCAGCGTAAACTGCATACAAGGAAATGTTACTGTGAAGTTAAACCTTTTAGTCCCAGATAGTGTTGAATTCAACACTGTCTATGTCTACAGTTGTTTCCTAGAGCAACACCTTTTTTAAAAGTCTCATGGAGCTGAAAATATACAGCTTTAAGAGAAAAGCTATTGTAGAAATAACTGGAAAATAAGGGGTTTATATAACAGAAGAATGGGACAGGAAAAGTAAAGAAATGTGTACCATGAGCAGTGACACCAATTGATGAGTTCCTTGGTACTAAAAGAGTTAAGAAGGCTAAAATTAAATTTCTCTGACGAAATCTGGACTGGATCATTAAAATATGGATCCTGCATCATACGCCTAACATATGTCTAATATTCCTTAAGGTATACGAATATAACATTACCTTTACTTTGCTATTAAGCAAAGAGGAGACTCATGTGTGTCTTACCAGTAAGTAAGCAGGTGATATAACACTGTAGCCTAACATACCCATCATAAGAGGTAGAATGTCAGGAATTGTGGGACTCGCAATATCGTACAATAAAAAAACTGTAATTGCAATCAATCAAACCAACCATGTTTAGTCTAAGTAAGGTTTTTGGCAAAGCAGGTGATATTACACTATAGCCTAATACACATGTCATAAGTAAGGAGTTGTGGGACTGCCAATATCAAACAAAAGAAAACTTTATTTGCAAACAATAAAATCAATCAAAGTAATGCTTGTGGCCTTCTCTGGGTCACTTACTGTCCAGTATCTTATTCCTGTGAGTCATATGACACAGGGTTTCTAGTGTTCAAGCATGGATAGACATTTTTTGATGACCTCACCATAAAGCTAAGTGAGTTTATATATTCTTGTCTGTAATTATATGAGTCCATTTGCGTCATTTACTGATGAAGGCTTTCTTGCCATAACATTTTTTTTCTATTTCATGACTATGGTACTGTGAAACCTGACTAGTTCTACTTCGTATCTGAAGGACATTTCTTCCAAAAGGCTGGCTACAAACTACTTGAGGATCATGTTTCCTTGAGAAATGAAAGGTAGAATAAATGAATAAGCAGATGGGGGAACTTAAATGTTCAATGTAGATGCTAAAATATTGTCAGTGAATTCTACTGAGTTTATGTTTGCTTGAAAAGTTTTGATAGAATACATCCATATGTTCCTTCTTTTTTCTAACTCAGTTTGCTGTCATCTTTCCATCTGTTTGCTGGCTTCTCTCCATCTGTTTGCTGGCTTCTTTCCATCTGTTTGCTAGCTTCTCTCCATCTGTTTGCTGGCTTCTCTCCATCTGTTTGCTGGCATCTTCCATCTGTTTGCTGGCTTCTCTCCATCTGTTTGCTGGCATTTCTCCATCTGTTTGATGGCATCTCTCCATCTGTTTGCTGGCTTCTCTCCATCTGTTTGCTGGCATCTTTCCATCTGTTTGCTGGCATCTTTCCATCTGTTTGCTGGGATCTTTCCATATGTTTGCTGGCATCTTTCCATCTGTTTGCTGGCATCTTTCCATCTGTTTGCTGGCATCTTTCCATCTGTTTGCTGGGATCTTTCCATCTGTTTTCTGGCTTCTCTCCAGCTGTTTGCTGGCATCTCTCCATCTGTTTGCTGGCATCTTTCCATCTGTTTGCTGGCATCTCTCCATCTGTTTGCTGGCTTTCCATCTGTTTGCTGGCATCTTTCCATCTTTCTAGAGGACAGTGTTGTACTGTACTGTTGGGAGATATGGAGACTGCTGGCGTTATTCTACCCGCATCACTCACCAACTGCCGATTAGTCTATAATATAAAGGCTAACCCTATATGCCCAATATGACTGAAGGTGTGTGAGCCAGTCCTTTCCACACACTGGAAAGACAGGTAAGAAGTAGGGAGGACAGAAGACTGACTGACTGACTTTCTACCCCACCAGGATATCACACAAGCGATAAACACCCGATGACACAATGAGCCACCATGTGGATGAGGATCACCGTGGAGAGGTCCCAGAAACCGCGTTCAGCCTTTAGGCCATATTTATGGCCAGGCTATATTGCGGCCCCTGGCAAGAGCCAGAGTAGGGCTTCAAATGATGAAAAATTTCATCCTAAAAAGGACGAGAAGTTGAGCTAGGACAGAAGAAAAATAAGCAAAAAAATGAGATTAGGAGAGGCCAGAAGGATCTTTAACAACATGAAATAAATATTTACATCTAAAACAATAAAGAATATAAAAAAATTAGGAATTGTTTATTGTTAAGGATCTTCAACAAAGATTGATCTTGAAACTTTTAGACTGTATTATGAGTCACACCATCATCATCATCTTTCCATTTCTGCCACCAACCATTGTCAAGAAGAAAAGTTGGTGACCCAGTGCTCAATAAGTAGGACTGGCTATTGTCATTCTAAATAAATGTACTTCTTTTCTTCTCTTCTTCCACTTTCCCCATATAAGTGTTGCAAGAAGATATATTAAAATAACAGTAATTTCTTTAAGGCTGCTCTTGATGCCATCATTCCATGTTTCGTGTGGTCTTTCTCTTGCTCTGTATTGATTACAAATCTTCAATGTGGCTTTCTGCTACAGTTGGTACCAGGGCATTCTCATCAGATGGCCAAATCATTTAACTGTTGTTCTTGAATTAACTGGTTTTGGTTTAGACACACAATCCACTTCTTCTATTACCACTTCAGATCACATACACACACCTCATAAATTCTTTATGGCACCAATGAAGAGATATTCAAATCTTCACCAGGTTTGCTGGACCTGTCCTATATTCATTTTTAACATCTAGGGTGACCATAAGTCCTGTTTTCATTGGGACAATCCTATTATTTAGGTGTGTCCTAGCTGGTACCCCCACACCAACAAAAAAAAGTCAATTTTCCTGTTTCATAACAATCCAGAAATTAGCTCACATACACACATAGTTATATCTGTAGAAATGTTTCAATTTAATAGTTTTAGATGTCTGAAATGTGTTGATGGAAATGTTCATTGAGGCATTACTTTTCAAAACAATTTAAAAGAATATTTTCATTATATCTTGTTAACAGTAGTTCGGGGTTTTAATACTTGGTTTTAATCACTTCACCCCCCCGGGACCTCGAAAAAAAGGGGAAAAAAAGGGGCAGGTGGTCGTTTTGCCAGGAGAGACTAAACCGTATTGGATAAAACCCAGTGCAATGTTCTCAGTAGGCAGGTGGCCCTTTTGCCAGGAGAGACTAAACCGTATTGGATAAAACCCAGTGCAATGAACTCGATCCTCTCAATGTTCAAACCTAACTTTAATCTTTTAGAACAATCAGCATAAATACTCTTGGACAAATTATTTGGAGACTTGTCACAGATCCGTTATTTATAATGCCCAGTAATCCCCAAAGTAAGAAGCAAACTAACGTTAAGGTTACATGCCAGTGGTGCAACACGCACATGAGGCCCAAAAATATTTTTATAGACCAGCCCGTCCTTGATGGGTGATGTGGTCAAATCTCGCTGTCTATGGACTCTATTTGGTAGCAATTTAAGGCTGGGGTGACCTGGGAGTCAAGGTTTTGGTTTAGGAAAACAAAATCAGCCTCTATGCTGATTTGAACCCACAACCCTCGGATCCACAAGCGAGCATCTACTTGCTACATCACAGCGACTCCTCAAATTAAGGAACTTTTCTTCTTCTGCATTCATCCTAAAATGTAATGCATTGTGTCTGTTTACAGCATGGCTGCATTACTTGTGCCTTTCAGCCAACACATCCAACTTCTTCATTTGTTGACCGGGTTAACCTTCCCGGTAAGTAAAGAACTGATTCTATATCAAGATTTCTTTAGACCCCCCCCCCCCCCCACTTCCAGCCCTCCACTCAAAAGAAAATTATAAAAAAAAAAAAGCATTCAGTTTAAGAAACAAAAAGTAGCAAAGTAGATAACATACAATCCTGTACTTGCAATTAGCACTAACAAATCAAACCAATCCAGTGTCTTGCACTCGTTAAACTACCAAATGAGACCTATTTTATAAATGCGAGCATTTTTTTCTACTCATTTAACTTGCTTTAGTTAACAAACGAGGAAACACACAGTTGTTTCATATTTTTGCTTATGCCAAACCAAATGGGAGGATAACTCACAACAACAAAAAACTTGTAACATATAATCAGTAACAACAGACACCTTAGGGTTGTTTCACCTGAGACAAACAATACTTACCAATGATGGAAGGGGAGTAGACTAAGAATAAAGTAAATAGAAACAATATTTAGAATTTTTGAGAAGTAAAATGTGAAAGCTGTGATCTTCTTTAGTGTAGGAAAATAAATAATGTCTGCAGCAGTAATCTGTGTGTAAATATAAATAAATAACTCAATTGTGTATGTATAGATATTTATAAAATGACTTCATGGTATGTATGTAGATAAGGATAAAATTACTTCACTGTATGTGTTTAGATAAGGATAAAATTACTTCAGTGTATATATATATAAGGATAAAATAATCAGTCTCTAAAAGGTTCCCTATATCTGCAGCATGTTTTCTGTTTAACTCTTGCTCCCCTTCCATAGAAAACACATGGGTACATGAACTTTGCCAGGGTTTTACTTGAACTCTTGCTCCCCTTCCATAGAAAACACATGGGTACATGAACTTTGCCAGGGTTTTACTTGAACTCTTGCTCCCCTTCCATAGAAAACACATGGGTACATGAACTTTGCCAGGGTTTTACTTGAACTCTTGCTCCCCTTCCATAGAAAACACATGGGTACATGAACTTTGCCAGGGTTTTACTTGAACTCTTGCTCCCCTTCCATAGAAAACACATGGGTACATGAACTTTGCCAGGGTTTTACTTGAACTCTTGCTCC